CAGAAAGCTGTCGTCCTCTTCCGCCCCCAGGAATTGGGGACTGAGGCCAGAGGAGGTGAGGATAAAGCCCAAAGCCAAAGCAGGGGCCTCCCCTTCGGAAGCAACGAAGGCCATGCTGGGGGCTTCTTTTTCTGACCCCTTCGTCGATCAGGCTGGTTGGTGACTCTTGGAGAAAGAAAACAGTTAACCCAGGTTTCCGTACTTTGGAGCTGGAGGGTGGGTACATGGCTAAATGGGCAGAAAATGAAGGGATCACCCACTCACTCCCATTGGGATCAGGGAACCAGGAATCCTTCCTCCCTGGTTTCTTCCTCTCTGCTCTCAAGGGCTGGCTTGGTCTTTACATACAGGTAGCTCCTGGGGTCCCAGCCCTAGTTCCCAGCCACCAGTGGGGAGGAACGGGAGGGCCCGGACGTGTGACAGGTGTACATTTTCAAAGGAAGAGAAGAGCACTCGGTTGGGTTTGGGGTTGGCCTCTGGAGGAAGGGCTGACCCCATGTCTCAGCAGACAGCATCCGCCTCCAGGATTTGGTTTACATGAGCCCTTTCCCCATCATGAAGGCAGGGAAGCCAGAGGAGGAGGGAGGAAGCTGCTGGATCCCATCAAAGGCCAGAGAAGACTGACCTTCTGCGTGGAGATGCCTGCTTGAAGCAAACATTTTGAGGAAGCCAAATGTGTATGTTCATCTCTTATTAAAACATGTTGGTGATGGACATCGTAAGGGTCCAAGTTTGTCCATGTGTCATGATGTCCTAGTGACGGTTCACCTTAAGGACCTTGCCAACTTTGTCCATCCAGGGTCATCGCAATGCTGTGGTAGGATAATCTTTCCAATATGGTGGACAAGTTGCACAAGTTGGTGGCCAATGGCATGACTTTGAGTCTGATGGAGACGACACTCTCTTTTGATGGTGTGGAGGTCACAGTGGGTGACTTTTGCAAGCCCAGGTCGTGGGTCAATGGCAAACAATCCCATGGGCCTGAAATACAGACTGCAGCCCCCTTGGCCCGGCAGCCAGAGAGGAGGTGGCTTGGCCACCTTGGATCTATCCCTCCCAGACACCCACCTTTCCTTAAACCATGGGTGGCTATGCCTCTAATTATTTCTGATCTGCTGAGCTCTCCTGGGTAACGCAGAACTTTTGCTTGTTTTTTTCTTTCTTTTCCTTCTTTCCCTTCTTTTCTTTCTTTCCCTTCTTTCCCTCACTCCCTCCCTGCTGTCCAGAGACTGCCAGATGTCCCCTTACACTCACCCTCAAATAACCTGGAGGAGCCAGGGCCCAGGGTGGGGAAAGAGTGCTTGGTGGGCAGGAGTATTTTCCGGGCGCTTGGGCAATGAGGCTTGCAGTTGAGGGCTTTCTCTTCTTGAGAAGATGAAATCTTAAAACTCTTTGCCTTCTAAATTGCCTGCCCTTAAAAAAGAGCTGTGCAGGAAAAATGCACAGGAAAAAGTGATACAAGAACTGCACAGAAGCTGTCCAAGCTTCTGAAATATACAAGGCCTTTGGCTGAAGACATTTGTATCTAACTTTGGACTATCCCAAAGCTCCTGCTTACATTAATGGAAATGTCCTCCCTTTCTCTTGGTGTTAGGAAAGATTTCAGAAAATGGTAAGAGATGTTCAATGTAGCTAAGCTTTGTAATTTCTTTCTTTCCCTTATTCCGAGTAGTCTTAGAACCCAGAAGTGAGATGTGTTGGCAATGACATAAGAGTATCTTAGGGATGGCCTTTGAAATGAATACAGATATTCATGATTTTTGACCAGTGGTAAGTTACAGAGAGCCTTGAAGGATAAGATCAAGAGTCTCCCTTGGTTACTATTAGTAAACATCAAAGGTCTGGGATAACCTTGAGCTGCAAGCCGAAGTAAAACCAGTCAACAGTAGCTTACCCGTTTGAGTATCAGTTCTTCATTTAATGACAAGCCCAGGGTCAGGTGGTTCTAAGGAAGACTCAGCAGCTCAAAGATGTTATCAAGAACCCTCCTCTTCTTGCTTCTCTTCTATGCCATCCTCTGCCAGTTGGCCATTTGACCCTATGCGTGAAACCTTAAGATCACAAGATGGCTGCCAAGGTGCCAGGCATCACATTTTTTTCAAAGGAGATAGAATGGGGAAGGAACAGTCGCAGGAAGTTTTCTTTCTAAAAGGACTGAGTCTAAAAAAGCATGTGTCTTCCTCCAGGGCTAGAGAAGGAAGGGCCTCCTTCCCATAGGATCGAGGGGTACACAGCTTCTTGAACACAAATTGGGGTTCTGTTAGCATGAAGAAGGAAGGATGGTGAGAGGGGGATGGTTGAGGGGAGCTTGCCACGGAGTTCTCAAGGCCGTTTTAACTGCAAGGAATAGAAATCGGACCCAGCTTAATTCGAGTGAAGAAACACAGCTTTATTGTAAGGCTGGGACCAGGAGTTAATTTCCTCCCATGGCACCAGGGAACGTAAGTGAGTGGAACAGAGGTGTGTGGAGCCCACAGCAACATGCGTGTTAACTCTTGCGTCTGTCTGTTGTAACTGTGTCCTGGCATGGGGTCAGTGTGCTTGGAGTATGTACCATGCATCTGTCAGGCATGATACTCAATACTGAGGATACAAAAAGGAATAAGACACGTCCTTACCTTCATGAACTCATGGCGCAGTGCGGGGAACAGGCACAAACAAGGTCATTGTGATACAGTGTGATGTGAACCCTACCGGAGGGATGCACAGTGTAACAGGAGGCACACAGAATGCCAATCCTGAAGCCCCACGACATCCTGGAGCCCCTTCTCACTCTTCAAAGGTTCAGTGGTTTCAATCAGACTTTAGTCACTGGGGGTACTTTGCTGCATTCTGATTCTTTGACGTTTAAGCGTAGAGACACGTCACGAATAATCATTCTCGATTAATCAAGAATACTCGGGGATGAACCACTTCAAATCCCCCTGCCCCCATCAATGCCAGGGAACAGAGTGCTTTGCAGATTCAGCAATAAGAAAACAAAAATTCCACTCACAATACCATCGAAAAGAATAAAACACTTAGGAAGTACAAGGCTTTTACAGACTGCAAAACGTGGCTTAAAGAAACTGAAGATCTGAAAAAATGGAGAAACGTTCCTTGTTCGTGGACTTACAGTCGTCAAGTACGTAGGTACTCCCTAAATTGATCTATAAATACACAATCCCTATCAAAATCCCTGACTGTTTCTTCTTTTGCAGAAATTGGCAAGCTGGGTGTAGAATTCATATGAAACCACAAAGGACTCAGAAGAGCCAAAAAAAAAAAATCTTGAAAAAGATGAATAAATGTGGAAGACTCACACTTCCTAATTATAAAACTTCTTATAAAGCCTCAGTAATCAAGACAGTGGGCTACTATCATAAGGGTACAGATACAGATCAATGGAGTAGAATTGAAGTTCCCCAAATTCACCCATGTATTTATGATCACGATTGACTTTCTTTAAACGTTTCCTTCTTTATTTTTGAATGGGGGGAGGAGCAGAGGGAGAGAGAATCCCAAGCAGACTTCACACCGTTAGCGCAGAACCCGATGCGGGGCTTGATCCCATGGACTGTGAGATCATGACCTGAGCCCAAGTCAAGAGTCGGACGCTCAACCGAGTGAGCCACCCAGGCGCCACTGTGGTCAATTGATTTTTGACAAAGGTACCAAGACAATTCAACGAGGAAAGATAATACTCTCTAAATTCATCAATTCCTGGCCCGGAATCTCCTTTCTACCCCTTCCAGCTGTTGACTGGGAATAACGTGAATAACTTATGCAAGAATTTAGCACTGACGCCCAGTTAGAATGCAATCAATTTTAGTATAATAATAATGATTTATTCTTATTCCTGGGATAGGAACTCTACCTTAGCTCTTGGATCCCTCACTCTGTTTAGCTCAGTGCCATCCCAAATCACGAAGACCCCACTGAGCATGGGAAGGAGAAGACGGTGATGGCGTGGATGTAGACTGCATGGCACGGGCCAGTCAAGACCTCGTCACAGCACTAAGGGGGCCACGGGTCCCAGATGCAGGAAGGCTTCCTCCAGGCTCTGGTCTCCCCCAAAAGCCCAGACAGATGCAAATTCTACCTCAGAGCCTGAGGCAGGTAATTAGGGACAGAGATGCTAAGGTGCCCTGTAGGTTCGTTAAAGGCTTTCAGAAACATCTGGAAGTCCATTTGTCATCTCAGAGGGGTGCCAGCCAGAAGAGAAGAAAGACATTAAATCTGCCCCCCCCCCCAACAAGGACTATGCGTGGTGAGTTCAGTTCTCTGTGAAGGGGTCCCTTGTGGGATGCTCCCTCCAGTGGCCCCTCCTCGGGGCTCACGGGGCCGTTCAGCAGGTTGCTGATGCTGTTGGGAATCCTGGATGTGGGACGGGTATCGTATGTGGCTAGTTCAATGCCTCACTTCCTCTGCCTCCCTATACTCCAGCTCTGCGTGGGACTTCCTGCAAGGAGATCTATCGCAGCCTTCCCTCAAGTGCGCTCCGTGGCATGGGTGCTCTGGGCAAAAAGGTTTCCGGAGCCAAATGCGTTTAGGAAGGCTGCGTGAAGGAACATCAGGGAGAGCAGGGGAGGGGTGTGGGGGGGGGGCAGAGGATCAACAGTGGGCTTCGTGCTAACAGCACATAGCCTGGTGTGGGGCTCAAAACCATGAACTGTGAGATCATGACCTGAGCGGAAGTTGGATGCTGGGCCACCCAGGCGCTCCGCCCCTTCGATTTTCTGAGCTTTCCTTTCTTCTAAGGACTCACAGTATAATGGCCCCCAACTGCTCTTCAGACTGTCAGGCCCAGAGTGGGTGGAGAGACCCCAGTGATCAAAGGGAGCCCCAGATAGGAATGGACTCGCCTCCAGAAATGGCCTTGGGATCTTCCTCTCCTCTGGTACTTCTTGCAGAAAGGAGCCAGGGCTGAAGTGGAGAAGAGACACCTTAGAGGGGGATACACTGATTGGTTGGCCGAGGGGAGCGGGGAGTCCTTGGGGACGTGGTGGTTACTGGTGTTTTCAGAGGTGAGGTGGCGGCATCTTGAGCAACTTCCTTTCTTCCAGAACTTTCCCAAAGAGCTTGGCTGCCTCCAGGGCACAGCCCCAGTGGATAGTGAGCCCGTAGCCTCCATGGCCATAGTTGTGGATGACCTGGGAGAGGTAAGAGAGACGGGAGCCCCGTGCATCCTGGAAGACTCGGGAGCTTCCTGCAGAGTTCTGGGTGAAGCCAGAGGGCAGCAGGGGGCCTCTCAGCTCCCTGGAGGGATGGTGGGGCCCCAGGAACACCAGTAAAGTGACTGGGGAACTGGAGGGTCGACATCCTAGGTTCTCTTTTGCTTAGGAGATGGACCTGCTTTAGGCACTCAGCACAGGAAATGTAGAATCGTCTAGAACTTGAGGTCAGGGATACCCCTCTCCCAAATTGTTTGAAGTTCCCTACATCACCTTTCTCATCCGCATCCTGCTCCGGAATGCCAAACCTCCTGTATTAATAGATAGACTCTTCTACCTATCTCGGGGGTTGGGGGAGGGGAAGATAAGTGGGGCCAACATATGGGTGGACTCTGGTTAGCATGCTAATTCATCCTAGGGACAGAGGCAAGACCCCTGGGGACTTTTTTAAAGCCAAAATCATTGGCAGGGAGTTTGACTCTATACGTGACGCTTTCCTCTGTATGTGTGCACATGTGCACGCAAGCACGCACACACACACACACACACACACACACACACACATGCACAAAGGTGCACACCACATGCCCGCGATAAGGAAGGAAGGATGACCTATCTACCTAAGGAGGATTCTTTTCCTTTGGGGACCCCAGCTACTCAGGTCAGTTCCTTCAGCCCAGGACAACTTCTGCCGCCTCAATAAAGCCCAGTTCCTACCTCATAAGGGGGAACGTCAAAGAGGGACCCCAGAGAGATGATGGGGCGGCCACAATGGGCATCTGAGAAACGGCGCTGGAGTCAAACTCAAACCACATCCCAGCCGTGCCCCGCGCTAGCTGTCTGATTTAGGCAGATGACTCTACCTGCTAGACCCCCGATTTCCTCATCTGAAGCATGGGGGAAACAGTCCCTATCCCCAAGAGCTGTAGAGGAGATTCAGTAAGGTTGTTCGTGTCATGAACACAAAGCAGGCTCAGTAAGTACCCACTTCCCTTCTACTTGACCACAGGCTTTGACACCCTGAGGCACACCGCCTTCTATGCAACCTTCGGCAGGTCCTTTCCCATCACTGAGCCTCAGTTTCTTTATAGAGGAGGGGATGTCAGCCAGTGTTGTTCTTTCCTGGCAGCAGGCTGTGTGGAGCCAGATGTCAGGCAAGACTGGAAATGCCAGAGCCCCCTTACGGGTAAGGGAGGCCCTTGCTTTCCTCATCAGGAGAGCATACCTCTGTGTTTGAAGATGCAAAACGAAGCTGTTCTCTTTCTAGCCGAATCTGGGGGCGCACCGGCCGGAGGCCAGTCAACTCAGCAACAATTTTTGCATCCTGGAAAAAAAAGTGTTAGTAATTCATCTCCAGATATTTTTTTTTTCTGCTGCCATTTTTAGATGGTAGGGTTAGCTCTTGGAACCTCATTATCATCACCACCACCACCAGCCATCACCACGATGTCACCGGCCACCCCCTCCTCACCATCATTATCACCATCCTGAGCATATTCATTACCAGTCAATACCACCATCACTTCCGCCGCCACCCTCGTCAATATCACGTTTGTCACTGCTACCATCAGGCAAATGTAAACACTGAGATCCCTACAGCGGATACATCTGCTCCTTGTGAAGACAGACGAAGGTGGTTTTAGGGAAGTCCCCACAGAAGACAGCCACTCTTAGCCACAGACGGGTGTCAGCAGCTCACAGCAGGACTTCCTTGTACATTATCAAATTCTGGTGTCTTCCACGGTCCCTCGTTAGAAGAAGTTTGCCCAGTTATCCCAGTGGGAGGTATCTTCCCATACTCAAGGGGTCTCATGGTCAAGCTGCCCAGACCCGAGTCTGCCAGGACCCCTCCCACCTTACCTGCAGTGTGGGCTCCAGTCTGCAGCAGCCTTCCCAGATGGTGTTGTGGTCCTGGATGTTGTTTACCTCGCTCCAGTTCCCCAGCTGAAAGATGCCTCCAAGAGTCACTGCCTGGATCCTAGATAAAAGTGAAGGGCGTCAATGATGAGGGGAAATGAAGCCTTTGAGGTTAATGGGGGCCATAGGCATGCTCACCCTTACAACCATCTCTCCCTACATCCCCGCCGCCAACCACACCGTCAACACCACTGCAATTGCCCCTGGCATCACCACCCACCAGCATCTCTGCCGTCACCACCAATGTCACTGTCAACATCGTCACCTCTTCCGGTGCACAACGCGGTGATTATAGTTAGCGATCCCGTATTATAGACTTTAAAGTTGCTGAAAGAGTAAGCCATAACATTCTCACTACGCACAGGGAAGATGTAATTGTGGGACCTGATGGGCGTGTCAGCTAACCTTACCGAGGTAATCATGTTGTAATACGTGCATATATCAAATCTTCGTGTACATCGTAAGCGTGCACAATATGTCAGTTATATCTTGATATCATCAAAAATACCAATCACTGCCATCATCACCGACCTCGTCATCGACACCACGCCCCCCCCATTAATGTCAGCGCCTGACCATCCTTGTCCCAGTCACCACCCCCAGGAAGTGGCTTCCCCATCAGTGACAACGCAGCCACCATCGTCACTAACATCGTCACCTCTCCCCTGAATGTCATCATCACCTTCGACCCATATCCCCTTTCCCACCGGCCCTCTCGTTATTTCCAGTCACACCGCTTCTGGGGTCCCTGCCCTCACACCCACCACCTTCGTCTCCAGTATCGCCATGCCTGTCGTCCAAAAGCTTGTTCAAGATAGAGCCCGGTTAAGGCCGAGTCTTGCCTTCCCAGGGATTTAGTGGCTCGACTTCACTTAGAAAACACTGGGAGAAAAAGCTTTCAGGGACTTGGGGTGGGCAGCATAAAGAGGGCATGAAGGTGCCCCTTGTTCTGTCCTGAGACGTCAGATTCTTACCCTGGGATGATGTACGGGGACTTGTAGATGCCTTTCTCTGGGTCATGGGTGATAATGAAGTGCTTCATCCAAGGGGCATCCACCTGTTGATTGAGGACAGACAAGTCTTATCAGGGGAGCCGGATCACTGGGCTTCCCTGCCCTTCTCCTCTCTGTGCCCAGATGTTCTGACAAGGGTGGCAGAGCCGATTCCCAAGCCCACTCCTGACCCCTCTGCCCCGCCTCTGCGCTGACTTCCTTGCTCCTGCGGGAAGAGCCACCCCTGCTCCCTGAAATTTCACACATTCTCGCCTGCATGACCACAGAGAAGCCCAGCACACGTGTGCCGATCCACGTACACATCAGCCCACATCAGGAACACATGTACACTCAACATGGGCGGGTGTACACACCCACACCCACAAATAGGCACCCTGCACGCATGTGCACACATACACAGTGAGAGGCAACGTGGATGATGTTGACACACACAGGCTCTGAAACCAGGTTGCCTGGGTTCCAATCCCAATCCCACAGCTCACTCCTGTGTGAACTTGTGTGCATATTACTTAATTCCTCCGTGCCTCGTGTTTCCCCATCTGTAAAATAGCAATGGCCATGTGTCGACCCCATCTCAAAGGGTTCTGGTAAGCACTAAATTAAGAACACAATAAAGTGCTCAGGCCTGTACCTAATAACATTCCATAAACGTTTGCTCTTTTCATTATATTACAAGAATATGCAACTCCCGCGTATGTACAAACATTTACACCCATGCTTTGCCATATTAAGGAACAACAACAACAACAACCACCACCAAAGAGAATGTTTGGAGGAATCATGTTTCTTGGTCCTTCTTGTTTCTTTAAGATGCCAATTGCCTGAAATCTGCGAGGCTCCTCTAACAGATGTCCCCGATGCATCCTCTATCTTTGGAGAGGAAATAAGCAGGCAGCTACAATCTCTCTATGAAGAAAAGCAGGAAGTTCCATCCCTCATCTTCACACTCACCTTAATGATCTGTCCCCGGCCTGGCTGCAGCAGGGGGTCCGGTTGCAATGACCCAGCCCACACCCCGGTGCAGTTGATAATTACATCGGCACCTCCTCTTGCTACCTGGCAGCGATGAACAGAGCAGGTGGCGTGGGAAGGGGTGAGGGCCCTGGTACCGCTTACCCCCTCCTTCCCCCTGCCCTTTACCCTGCAGCTCCCTACAGAAAAGCAGGGAGCGGGCTCAGTGAGGAATCCGTGGAACTGCCTCCAAATCTCCACTCTGCCATTTACCCGCTATGTGACCTCAGAAAGGTTCCATCACCTCCTCAGGGCCCAGCTGCCTCCGCTGTAAAGCAGGGCTGGTAATATCTGTTCTTAGGCTGTGCGAGGATCCAATGTGACCCTGGATGTCAAAGTGCTTGGGAAGGAGTACTGTGGAAGGGGGGAACCTTCTTGGAAGCTCCCAGAAGAACTCAGATGCAGAGAGAGTTCTCTTCTTCCTTCTGACTCCTTTTGATTTTCATTCTCTTGCCTCACACTCTGCTAAGGCACTTTCAGAAGGCATGTTGGAGCCCCTGGCTGTGTGCTTGTGTGGGATACTTGACAGCTCAAGGATGTAACCTCATGGGCACCCAAACACCCAGCCCAGCCCCAGTGACTCCCTTCACAGGTTTGTCGTGGGACACACACTTTGGAAGCATTGTTATTGTTCAAGAACCAGTTTTTGCTACACTGGCCTGTGAACTCCTTGGGAATAAGTGCTGTTTCTAAGTCAACATGGATCCCAAGTGCCCAGGAGGGCTCGATCCGGAGGAGGTACTCATTATATAATGCTGGTAGCTGCAGATACTGAGCACAATTCTAGGTGCTAGGATTGAGTGAAGTCATACAGCAAAGCTCCTGGCATATAGCCAGTGCCTGATGAGGATAGCTGTTATTGATGGTGGTGTTACTCTGGAGCTGAATCAGCTGAGAGCCTTGACTTTGCAGAAACATTAACCCTGATTTAGGTAGGAAGCAACCAAGTGTCTGGAATTCAAGAGTGGGGTGCAGCTGATACTGGTAAGAGGCAGCCAGCTCTCTGGGCCTAAAACCCTCCGTGGCTTAGAGGTAGATTAGCCTCCAATGGCCACCATAATCCCACTGACCCTTTGTTCCTGCCACCAACATCAAGACAGAATGCTTGAGTCCTTCTGGGATTGAAGAAAGGCCTGGTGACTGGGACAGGCCTCAGGGGATCCTAGGCGCCCAACAAGGAGCCCCCCAGTCCAGCACCAGGAAGCAGAGGCCTCCCCTCCTCACCTCCCTCCCATATCCAGCCCCTTCCAGCCTTGCAACTCACCTCCTCAAAAGACTCCACCTTCTTCTGGAAGAATTTCACTCCCCTCTCAGTTAACCTGGGTGATCAGACACATCAAAAAAACCCAGGACTCAGTTATTTGTCCCATCTCTCCAAGAGGATGGCATGGGAGATGTTTCCCAAAGAACCTTCTGTGGACATTAGTCCCACAGGTTGCTCCTGGAGAACATGGCTGTGTAGTCAGGTCAGTTCATGAGCACCTTGATAGACTGGTGGTCCATGAAATGTCCCTTGGGAAACCTGAGATGGTCCAAGCCCCTGGTCGGGCAGATGGTGATGAAAGAAGGGCCTTGTTGAAGGTCGTACAGTGAGTCAATGATGGGATTGGGACGTAACGTAAGCCCAGGCGTGTTGGCTCAAAACTCATCCTACGACTACTATATTGCTTTATACCATTAAGGAGAGCGAGATGCGGGGTGGAAGCAGGGCAGGGTTGGACCAATGCTAAACGCCCCTTTGTCAGAAGCAGGGCATGAGGAGGAAGGTGGGCTGGGGACATCCACCCCTCCCTCAAAATGTCCCAGAGGGAAAAATATCTGTCATTGTTAGAGACGCAGTAGAAACATCAAAAGAACAGGAAGGAAATCCTGTGAAAAGTGAAGCATGACTTCAGGACTATTTTATCTACATAATTCCCTCAAGATAGAAAAAGTGGGAACTTACTGTCTAGGAAGAGGCTAGGCAGGAGTCAGAGGTATCCTAAGGTTAGGAGAGATAACTACGTTGTTTTTTTTTTCTTTTTTTTATTGCTTCTTAGTTGTTTCCAAACCTGGCTGATAATTAGAATCACACAAATTTCTAAGCCTCCACTCCAGAGGATCTGATTCAATAGACTTGAAGTGGGGTCCTGAAATCTGTATCTTTTAAAAGCTCCCCAGGTCATTTGATAAATGCTCCCATCCATTCTAGATTTTTAAAAATCTTTTTTTTTTCAACGTTTTTTATTTATTTTTGGGACAGAGAGAGACAGAGCATGAACGGGGGAGGGGCAGAGAGAGAGGGAGACCAGAATCGGAAACAGGCTCCAGGCTCTGAGCCATCAGCCCAGAGCCCGACGCGGGGCTTGAACTCACGGACCGCGAGATCGTGACCTGGCTGAAGTTGGACGCTTAACCGACTGCGCCACCCAGGCGCCCAAAAATCTTAATAAAACAGTAATATATAGGAAATATGGAATCTTCCTTAAGATGACTATCAATATAAAAATGTCTCTCAAAGCTAGTGTTTGCTAATTTAGAACACTATAAGATTCCTGTTACCATCAGGAACAAGACAGGGACACCCACTATCCCCTGTGTTAGTTAGCATTGTTCTGGAGGTCCTGACCACAACAGTTAGACAAGAAAAAACATGAGGTATAAAAATAAAAATAAAAAACTTATGTTTTGCGGGGGACGTAAATGTATCTGGAAACCTCAAGAGAATCCATTAAAACTACTCCACAAACATTATGTATTTTGGGTGAGGTCAACAGTAAATATCACATGTAAAGAGCTGCCCAGATGGTTCTGGTGCCCCGTCAGGTGCGGGA